GCTTATTATCAGTTGTCAAAACCTCCTCTAGGCTCATATTAAAATGCAAAGGTCTTTCAAAATATCTAATTCCTCCTTTCTCTCACCTCACCTTGTTGAGTATGACTATGTAAAATAATACTAATTACAGTCATTTTCATGAGCTGCTTCTCATTTATGCCTCATTAGCATAATTCACAGTAGTTATCCATACCATTGAATGAGTGTTAGTTACCTTTGCCGTATCTGATGATTATACTAAGTTCCATTTTGGGGAGCTAAGCCTTCAGTTTGTTGTTCATGTCCCATGACTGACTGCTTACAAAGTAGAAAAATTGGACAGAATACTTCTGGTAAGGAAAATGCAGGAAAAGCTCTGCAGAAGTAGGTATCTAAAAGAAGTAGGCTCTTGAGCAGCTGACAATGCAAGCCATCTGGTGCCTAAGCAATGAATGACTTTGAATAAAGGAGAAGTAGGAAGATGCCCATCATGATCAGATCAATGGAATTGTGAACGCAACATCTGCCCTGGGTGCACTCGATATGCAGTGTCTCCTTTGGCATGAAAGGAGTTGGGCCTTGAAGCCTTAAATTGACTTCATTTTGCATGTGATGCGTTCATGAAACTTTTATTTGGGGTTGTTTTAGTTTTTGCCCACCTTTCTCCAGGTTCAAGGGGAAACAGCATGGTGGAAGGAATTCTAACATAGGGGTCAGATGCAATAACATAAGAAAATGTAAAAGAAACAAAGGAAAAAAAATAAGAGTCTCTCTGTCATCTGGATTGCTAACTATCTGTGTGACCTTGGAAAAGTCCATTTACTTCTCAAGCCTGTTTTCTCATCTATGAAATGAGAAGTTTAGGCTAGGACCCAAAATAGCCCTGGAATGTAGAATATGACCGCTTCTGAAGGGACAGTTCTAGGATGTGCTTCTTGCTTCACGGATGAAATTTAGGAGTAAAAAGTATGCAGAACTTGGCAAAGCCAGATATATATTTATGCTTCTCAGTGCAGCAACTGATTTCTTCCCCAACCCAGGGCTCTACAAGCTATTCTTTGTTTAATGGTGGTTGTTTGTACTTTTAATTTTTTTCTTCCATAAATTTTTTTTAAAAAGATTTATGTGACTGCTATCATTAGTAGGTGACAAGCAGTTTGGAAATAGAATATTAACTTAAGAACTGAGAAATAACATGAAAGCTTAAACTTTTTAAATAGACCTAAGTGTTCAGAGTTGAGACTATATGATGTAGTTATTTCAGTTGATTTATTGGGAACGCATATACGTGGCTTTGCCAAGCCCTGTGTACATTTTATTAAATATTTTCATTGGCATAGCAAAAACTGCAACCTTAAACTCTCCCTTTGGAAGTAATCATATGGCAAACTCTATAGTTGTAATTGGCCTTAATCTAACCTTCTCATTTCATAGGTGAGAAATGGTTCTTTTTCTGTGTCATGAGGTCAAAAACATCAGGATTCCATGGTGTTCTACATAGGGGACTGTAATAGTCAGTCCTCTGTTCCTGGAGCTGATTTGAAAGGCAGAGTTCCAAAAGTATTGACTTTGTCTTCATTTTTCTAATGAGAGAACTGACAGTGGTAAACTATAACTTGCCCAAGGTTACAGCCAGTTCATGGTGCTCCCAGGGACTCACAGGCAGTCTGATTCTTGGCTCAGTTATGATGTATCCCTTCCTAATTTGGACTTCTTGCCAAAAATGCCAGTTCCCTAAGAGGACGGAGTTTGCTTTGTATGGGGGTATCCCCAGAACCTCAAACAGGGGCTGGCAGGGCAGGAGCAGGTGGCCAGCCAGTGACCCTGTGGATTGTTTTGTCCCTCTCCTGATTCCAGTGGGTAGCCATTGTGCCTTCATGCACGATTTCTGAGGATATGCAGACTGTTGGGAATCGAGGCCCTAGAAGGAGAGAGTAAGAAGGAAGATGGGGGATTCCTTTCTGGCAGTCCTGACTTCTCAGTCCCAGGATGTTTACTGGATAACAATTTATTGGAAGGCAGAGCACTGAAGGAAATATCAACCACTTCATATGAATTAATGGTTCTGCTTCTAAGCTCTAAAAATGACAGATCTCTCAGTTCTCTACTCCCTTACTCTCCTGCCTAACTACATAAGTTTCTGTGATTTAATTGTCCAGGAAACTTACTATCCATCTACTCAATTACCTTTACGTCCCATCAGCAATTTGACTTCCCTTCTTTGCATTTGGGATCATGATTTCCCCAGTTGGAAAGAGTTTTGGAAAGGGCAGGAAGGTAAGCTTGGAGCTCAAGAAATAATAAAGAATAATACTGTAATCATAACAACTCATTATTTGTTTTTGAAGCTTGATCTTTCAGAAGGTTATTATCTGGAGTTGAATACTAATAGATTCAAGCTGTCTTTATGCAGAGGAAATCTTAAACAACAGTGTTCATGGGGAAGGACATTAATCAGGAGAGAGAAGTGAGCCTGGAGCCTAATAATGTTTGCATAATAGCTACCCTTGGGTGTATTGCTTGACTTAAGAATAAATATCCCGCTTTCCATCTCCAGTACAATTGGAAATTATTTGTGGTTATGATTCTGTTATATGATCTTCTACCTGTTCATGGGGACTTTAAATCGGGAGGCTGCTGGAAACCAACAAACGTAGCAGTACTTGTGAATGAGTCTGGGGTAGACATTTAAAGAGGCTATAATATTGGGCAATCTGGAGAAAATGAGCGGAGAGCAGGTCATAATTCTCTTTCCAGGAGGGGAAGGTGGGATCAAACTGGCATGGTTGACATTTATATGCTTCTCTGGTGTACTTTTACCTCTGCAATGGTTTCTCACCACCTGCAGGATAAACTCCAAGTGCCTTATCTTGACAGAAGAGGTGCTCACTGGGGGGGCGGGGGGGGTCCCTCCGACTCTGCAGCACCTTATCTGCAGCCACTCCCCACCCCAGGGAGGATGATATTCAGCTCTTCGAAGGTTCCCTTAGACATCACAACTTAACTTCCATGTCTTTGTTCGGATCCTACCTTTGTCTTGCAAAGATTTTCCAAATCCTCTTTGCTAATTAATTCCACTTACCATGGAAGAGTTGGCTTGAACTTCGCCTCCTCCAAGAAATCTTTGAACTCCACAGCTAACCAATAAGTTTTCCCCCAACTTCTGATATTTTTCTTTCTTTTCGTTCTTCCTCCCTTCTTTTCCTTTCCTTTCTTTTTCTTTTCTCTCTTCCCTTCCTGCTGCTCCTCGAATAGACTTTGTCCTGGGGAATTCCTTTATTGTCTTGATTTGCTGCTTATATATACCAAATTTTATGACAGAAGTGCTTTAAAGTAATGAACTCATTTTTCTTCTTTTCTCTATTTCTCTTTTCTTTTTCTTTTTCTTTTCATTTCTGGGAAATGTTTCAATATAATCTTGAAAAAGTAAGCACTCTACTGTTTTGAACTTATAAAGCTTTCATTTGTTGGTTTTGTTCTTATGATAGAGAGATGAGCAAGACAGCTATTTATTATACAAATAAGAAAACTAGTTCAGAAACATTGACTTGTTAAGCTTACATGTCTGCTAAGTTAGAGATTAGAATAGACTAGACTCTAGTCTGGTGCCTTTTTAAAAAAAAAAATTATTTATTTATTTTGAGAGAGAGAGTACACATGCGTGTGCAAGTGAGCAGCCCAATTGTCACCATAATGCAGGTCCCTGTGTCCAATCCAGGCCTCTGTCCAGTAGAGCTCCACCAGCTCTGTAAGGCCTGGAGAAAAGGGAAGGAAATAGTCTTTATAAGTTATCAAGTTTATAGTATTGTGAAAAGGCACTGCACTGGGGCGCCTGGGTTGCTCAGTTGGTTAAGCGTCCAACTCTTGATTTTGGCTCAGGTCATGATCTCAGGGTGGTGAGGATATGCAGACTGTTGGGAATCGAGGCCCTAGAGGGAGAGATTGAGCCCCAAGTCAGGCTCTGAGCTCAGCGGGGAGTCTGCTTGAGATTCTCTCTCCCCCTACCCCTCCCACTCACGCTCTCTCTTTCTCTAAAATAAACAAATAAATCATAAAAAAAGATAAAAATAAAATGACACCTTAAGAAATAAAATTTAAGTTACTTCTAAAATTTTGTGCTATTCAAGCCTTACAATAATCTATTTTTTCGGTAGTCCTGGAATCTAGGTATTTGTTTTTCTAAAGGACCATTTCCAACCTGATGCACATGTTCCCTTCAGGAACCAACACTGTCATTAGATGCTCACACATCCTGCCCTCTCTCACCAGTCCGCTCCTCTCCCTCCTCCTCCTCTACCTCCCAAGTGACTTGTATGTGCGCTTCGATTTTTGCCCCTGGAGTTACATATTTTTACAATTAGTTTAGGTTTCCTAAGTCTTTGAGTTCTTTCCATAAGAGTCGCCAGTGGATTAGATGCTGACCGTATGGTTATTTTCTTCAGAACATAAAAAAGCATGCATGTTCTTTCCTCACTACCTCTAGTCCTCTTCATTTCCATAAGGGTAGGTGTTTGTCTCTCACTACAGAGCAAAATTATTAGTGATTTTTGGAACCCCAAGAGGACCAAGTGGAAGGAACTGGAAAGAAGGGAGCAGAAGCAATCACAGTTAGGCACCCAGTCCACCTCATAGATGAGTTGAGAACAGCCGTATGATTTCATCGATCATTTTAGTCGTTCTGTAAGATTTAGACTTGCTGGTTGACAGATGTGGAAACCGGGCTCAGAGGGTTTCCGTGATTCACCCACAACTTGTGTCGGAGCTAAGATTTGAATCTAATCTCTGTGGCTCCAGGTTTCATGAGGGGGTGTCCTGGTAGGATAGAATGGGTGCCCGGGTAGCAAAGGGATGAAGAGAAGGCTTTTTAGCCTGTTGCAAGATTCAACCTTTGGCATGCTTCTCCTTCCCTGATTCCTGCCCCAAACGTAGACTATTTCTACAAAATATGGATCCAGCCCTTTGGGATTTTTTTAATGAGAGGGTCTTCTACTAATGGGACATCTCTCTTTTGTCTCCCACAGCAATTTTGCAGGCAGTAATAGCTGGTGATCTTATGAAGGTAAGATATGTTCCTACCCAAACTTCTGGTGATTCTTTAAGAACTTTAACATCATTTCTCACCAAATAGTCATGGTCTCTCGTATGTCATGTATCATCCCCCTGCCTGTGCTAAATGACTTGGAAGGGGAAGGATGCTCTTTTGAGGACCGGGCAGGGAGGGCCAGAGGAGTCTTCAGAGCATCTCCACATTTCCCAACAGTGGAGAATGTATGCAGGGGTACCATGCTGGTTGTCTTGACTAGTTAACATGGGCTGCATGTTCCCCGGATGCAGTGCTCACAGTGTCTGGAATTCCTGCTCTCTAGAAGCTGATATTTGCAGTTTAAAGGTTTCTTTATAGACAGGTCTTGAAATGAGTTCATCTGTAAGAATTATCTGGACAACACTCAGAAATACATTCTCCAGGCCAGAGCCTACAGCTTCCAACATGATTACAGTTTTGTACTCTGGGGATCACAGTCAAACCAAAAGAACATGCTCCGTCTCATCTCCCTCAAACACTTTAATTCATGCTTATGTTTTCTTAGTTCAGAGAGAAGGAAGTGGTCCCTGCTGCCTCTAGAGGGAATGTACATTCTGGAGTCAGACTGCCTGGGTTCAGATCTTGGCTCTGCCATTCACTGTATGTGTGACTTTGTATAATTATCTGATTCTCTCTGCGCCTCAGTTTCTTCATCTGTAAACTTGAATAATGTTGCCTCTCTCCTTTGTTGTGAGGATCAACTGTAACAATACATGTAAACCTCTTAAGACTGTTTTTATTCCATAGAAGGGACTCTAAAATGCTAGCTAGTAGTGTTAGTCTGTGTTTTTTTAATAAACATAGTGAAGATGCCAATATTTGTTATATAGTATAGTCCATGAGTATTCTAAAAGCTCTATTTGGCCTCATGTCATTTTCAGGCATTGGGACTCATGACTGCCTGTATATCCCTGTATAACCCACATTGGCATCGATCTGCTCTGTAAGATCAGCAGCTGTGTAGGGACAGAGGCTCTGCCTTACTCGCCAGCCTGTGGAGTATGGTGCCATTGCAGATCGAGAAACCAAAAGCCTTAAAAGGGAGCTGAGAAGCACTGACCTTGCATGCAACTTCTTTTAAAGCACATCTGTTGAATCAACTGAGAAACCTCTGTGCTACAGTGTTAACAGGTTACTAATAGGAAAGAAGTGGCGAGAAGGTTGCAAGCATCTTGATAAACTGCCATCTTTAGACACAGAATTCTGGAAATGGTGCCCATGGCACAGTCTACATCGAAGAATTGTCACCCACAAGGAAAAAGTACTTTCCAAGCAGTGTACCTGGGAGTTTGATGCTATTGCCAAGCAGTGGATTGAACCAATATTATCCCAGACTCCCTGCAAGGCCTTATATTAGATGCTTTGGGCAGTAAGGCGTGATTCCTGCCCTCGCAGAGCTTCTAAGCCAAAAAAATGTGCAAACTACTGTACATTTGAAATCTTTTTATCTCATTTTGCATATGCTTTTAGTCTAGGCAGCATATTTTTTGGGTCCCTTGTGTATACAACCCCACTTTTTTTGTACTTAATAGAGAACTATTTGAAATACAGGAAATTGCCATGTTCAGTAGGTTGTCTTACTACATTCTCTGTTACAATCATTTCCTAAGTGCCTAAGAAATTACTTAACCTTATTTATGGAAAGATGAAATACAGTGACTTAGTTTTTCTTTCTCATTCTTTTTCTCTCTTTCCTTCCCAAGTCTTTCTTCCCCTTTTCTTTCTTCTTTTCCACCTTCTTCTGTTTGTCTATTCCATGCCATGCAGAAAGCAGAAGAAATATTAGATATTAAACTGTGTGCGTGTCTGTAAGAGAGAGAGCACACAGCAGATAGCAGAGAACCGAAGACCCCAGGAGCCATCCAGTGTGAAGGCTGTTGGGAGCGTCTGCTGTGCACCTGAGCTGCATAAGATACCCACGGACTAACTTCATGTCCGCAGTGTCCAAAAACCCCACAGAAAGGCAGCATCCAGGCAGCTGATGGATTGGGTCTGTGCTGCTCCACTGAGCCCAAATCCCTTATGGATCTGCCAATGAAGAAAGGGAGTGTCATTGTAAGACTAATGTTGAACAGTACTGGATATGCTTAGATTCTTTCTGGAAAACTATTAGCTACCTCTTGCTGTCCTATAGCCTCGTAGTTTAGGGAAAAAGTCCCCATAACTTCTTTACTTCCATTCAACTATTCCTTTTTGGCCTATTTTCTAGGAAGCCTTCCCTGACTCTTTTTTCACCCCGTGATAACCTCCTTATGTTCTTCTCCATTCCTGTATGTGTCTTTGATATCTGTCTTCGCCGTGGATGGCAAGGTCTTGAGGCCAATGACCAAGTCCTATTCATCTTTGTTTCCCTGGCATCTGCCAATGGCAGTTCCATGGTTGGATATGAGTTTACTTTCTTTGACCTTATGAGATGCTTACCTTTTTTTTTTTTTTTTTTTTTTTTAGTGTGCCATCTAACTTCTTGGTGATAGATCCATTCCTTTTGCTTGGTACCTGCCGGGTTATTGTATTCTTCTTTGTCCTGAAACTACCTTTTAGAAGTTCCAGAAAGACTCTTTTTGTTCTCCTATACTGCTCTAGGTATATCTCCCATACCCTGGAGAACAGGGACCCATTTACACTTTCTGTAATGTTCAGTATTTCATGAAATCAGACCGCATCCTCATTTCACCACATGATTCTCAGGCTGCAAAATCTGTTGGTCCTTTTCCAGTCTGTTCTCACAATATAGGTATTTTAGGTTTCTCCTGCCACATTCTCTGAATCCTTTGGGTTCTCATCCTGTGGATCATCTCTAGCCTCACTGGGTATGGATTGGATGATTAACAGAAGGCGTGCTGGCTGGGTTGCAGATCTGGAAGAAGAAAGAGGCTGTACACACGTGTGCCACCATCTCCCACGGGAAAATGGGAAGGAGCTTCTGTATTTGGTAGCTAGGTTCATTAGAGGTTGGAGAGAAACCATAGGCTCGGAAAGGAGCTTAGCTACCAGACACCAAGCTCTTCCTGTCTCCGGCCTTAATTACTCTTTCACTCAAGAGAAACCCGAGCCAACATAGGAAAGCGTTTCTTCTCTTTGCTGCCCTTCACTCTCTTAGGACAGCGACCAGTGCCCAGAAAAGAAAAAGACATCAAACAGAAAAGAAATAACTCACTCAGCACGTTTCAGTTTCCACATTTTAGTGCCCACAGACCCTCTCCAGAGTGAGGGGAGACACTGGCCAGCTATCTGAGTGCTAACACGGTGCAGGAACGTTGCTTCATCCCTTTGACTTCTCGGCGTCCTCTGAGGCTAGAAACATTTGTGGTTTGCTACATCACTCTTATTTTATCACCGGTTAGCTGTACTTTCCCTTGTTCCGGACTCTGCCTGAGCTTCTTTTCCTGTGTCTCTTTGTCAGCTAATGGAAAGCTATAAAAATGGAGGCAGTCTGCTAATTCAGGGGCCGGACCACTGCTCCCTCCTCCACCATGCAGCCAAAACCGGCCACGGGGAGATCGTGAAGTACATCCTGGACCACGGTAAGTAGGCGCAACGAACCAAGGGGCACTTATCCACGAAGCAACTGAACCGTCTAAGTGGGCTCTCAAGCTGGCTGTCTTCAGAACAGTAGAAATGCTCCCCACCTTTTAGCTGACACCCCCTGCTGATGTGAGGCAAATGGAACCACAGACCGCTGACCCATGTGGGTCGCTGTGACCGAACGGCTCCTAGAAATAATTCTCATATCCAGGTCTTCGCAGGATACTGGTGAGCTGATTGATTGAAAAATAAAAGACAAAAACAAATGCATCCCGACATAATACGCTGGATTGTTTTGGGAAGCGTTTTAAGTTGCCTGGTTGGGACCCAGTACCAAATCCATGTTCATAGCTGATCATTCTGAGGATTACATGAGCACGGTTTTTTCCAGTTTTTTGGCTTGTCTCTCTCTCTCTCTCTCTCTTTTTTTTCTGCCTGGATCTCATTCATCTTTTCAACTTAAGCCACGCTTCATTCTCTTTGAAAACATCTGGGACTCCCCTGTCTTCCATGGTTAGATAGTTGCTGGAAGTAGCATGTACCTTAGCATATTTCTCTCATGGTCCTTTAGAGGCATAAACACATGGATAGATCCCATATCTTGACCAGTACTTTCAGCTTCCCATGTTCATAGTGTTTCTAGGAATTAAGAACAGGAGTAAAGGGAAAAACCTGCCTGGCTTGGCTGTCTTTGAGAGGGGAAGGATTCGAGCAGCCTCTAGGTCTGCTAGATGTAGGTACACAGAGATCCTGGAGGATTTTCTCTGCGCCCTAGCAGTGAAGCTCTGGCATCCAGATCCAGGCTGAAAATAGTAAGCGTATTCGTAGACATGCACAGTCCTTTTTGCTCCTCTTTTTTTTTTTTTCTTTTTTTTGAGGGAGAGAGAGAGAGAGCATGCGTGCATGAACAAAGGAGGAAGAGAGAGAGGGAGAGAGAGAGACTCTTAAGTAGGCTCTACGCTCAGCACACAGCCCAACATGGAGCTCACAACCCTGAGATCATGACCTGAGCCAAAATCAAGTCAGACGCTTAACCGACTGAGTCACCCAGGCACCCCACTCCTCTTTTTATTCACTTCAACATGTCTTTCAGTCAACACATATTTGTGGGGAGTGGTTAAGAGGAGCTACCTGTTATAGACCAGTGTGTACACACACGCACACGCGCACACACACACGCATGCACACGCACGCACGCATGCAAATGCACGCGCACGCGCGCACACACACACACGCATGCAAACGCATGCATGCACACGCACACACACACTTGCAAATGCACGCACACACGCACACGCACGCACACACACGCACACGCACACACACGCACGCATGCAAACGCACACACACACGCACACACACGCACAGTATAGTCACTATTTCCAGGCAATTGAGGCCAAAAAACATAATCATATGCAGAATTAAATTGAAAATAGTTCTATATGGATGTTTTAAGTCCTGTTGTAAGCCACAGGTAGATAACATAGCTACCATTTGTCACACGCTTACTAGATTTTCAGATGCTTATACTAAACATCCTATCATTTAATCTTTACAAGGACCTGCAAGGTAGGTATTAGACTATCAGGTACGTTTGACTCACCTTGTTTTGTCTTCAGTTCCTTCTCACCATGATGAGTTTGCTTGAACCCTTGGCCTGAGTTATGGTGGAGAGAACAGTTTAGGAAAAGGAAAGCATGTGAAAGCAGGATGGAGATCATTAGACCATCTCTTTTCCCCTTGGAGGCTGGGCTGGACAGTCCCAAGCCTGTCTATGCTGGAAAGCTCAGGTGGTAAGCTGTATTCCTTGGTGCTGTGTCTGGGATATGCATCCTCTCATCTGCTGTTCCCCTACCCATTAGACCCACTGCAACAAAAGCATTTGTGGGCAGGGGGGGAGCAAGACTTACAAAGCAGTGATGGCGTAAGTTCTGCTTGCCTCCTTTGTGGAAAAAAAAAAGAACAAAACAAAAAAACCATAGGTATTTTTTCTTTCCCATAGTGACTTCTCCAAAGGCTGGTGAGAGGCAAAATCAAATGTTAGAACCCGGCTCCCACAGACAACGCATAAAGTCACAGAGCTTCTATGATTATCTTTCTCGTAATCAAAAAGATCTCAGGATTTCTACCACACAGAATGCAGATGAGCTTTAGATATACATACTGTCAGTTTACTTGTCTTTCGCTGGGTTAAAGTACTCCTGGTTGCTGTCTTCTTGACCACTCTCAATCCTTTCTTCCTAGTTTGTCCTTCACCCCATGAGACTGAATGTTTGCTCGCATACCTTAACCTATTCAATACCCACAGACCCTCTCCCGAGTTAGGTCAGACACTGGCCATCTATTTGAGTGCTAACACAATTTAGGAACTCTCTCTCTCTCTACCTCTCCTGAAGAGCTAGTGTTCCCCGCCCCCCGCCCCCACCACGCACAGTTCTGGAAACCTCCCTGTATTAGTCACCTGTTGGTGTCTCCCTTGGTCTCACTCACAAGGCTGGGGGGAGCTGCAATTGTGATTGAGTCTGTCTTGAATATGGACTCCCCCACACATTTGGGGCTCTCAGCTGAGATGGCCGGAATGGCTGTGACACCTCCCGGGACAGCCTCCCTCTCTACCTGTTCTTTTATCCCAGGCTTCTTCACGGCATGATAGTCCTATGGTTCCAGGTGGGTGAGGATAGATGCTTCCAAATGTCCTGAGGCCAGGCTGGAAAGTTCTGCATTATCTCTGCAGCATTCTGTTAGCTAAAATAGGTCACAGAGTTGGCCCTGACTCAAAGGAGGGCAAAATGGCCCCCACCGCCCCATGAAAGGAGCTGCAAATAATCTGTGGCCAGATTTAACCTACCATCCTCCCTTACCCTCTGTCTTCTTCATTTGAAAATGATGAGCTTACCTTCTCAATATCCTGAACTACTGTCCCACCTGGAATCCCCAGGACCTCAGCTTTTATATTTTCCTTTGGTTCTGGGTCCTCAGGTTGATTAGCAACAATAATTCTTTAAATTTGCAAGTTCTTCAACAACAGCAATTTCCCCCCTTTTTAAGCCTAAGTATGACCCGTGCAATGTTTGGGACATACTTATACTAAAAACAAACCAAAATCTCTCTCCTCAGTTGCATGCCCCCAGGGGCATGAGTGATGAGGCATGAGATGATATTAGTCTAAAATCACAGATTTTCACTTCCCCCACTCCTTTTTCCACTACCTTAAATAATAGGGCCTCTAAAAGGTTGCAAGTTCTAACCCCACCTGTGGATTGATGCACACGTACTTTGCCTGGCATGAAATCAAGCTGGTATGTTAGTCTTAGTGCTGTAACCAAAGCCTGACATTCCAATACTACAGTCGTCTCTCTTCCATCCCCAGCATCTCTTGTAAAGGGTGAATCACACAATACAGCTCTCTCTCTATCAAAACTGAAGGACACGAAGCAATCTGTTAATTAGGGGGGAGAAGGTGTTTATTTTTCCAGTTTTTTGGGGGGGGTTAGATTTAATAAATTAGTTGGTTTAATGTTTATGATAATGAGAAAAACAACTGGAGATTCCTGCACTCATCTTTACTTCCCTCACAGGCAAGCAGTTCCCATGGTCACGCTCAAGGTTAAGGTCAAGGTCACGGGAGGCATCTGATTCCCTCCCTGCCTCACCAGGATCTCACTGGCCAGTACAAACGAGAGAGAGACTAGAGATATGAAGCACACTCCATCTTTCTGTATGAAAATAAAATCTTATTATGCTCTCCAGTCCAAGAATCACTGCAGTTTTGAGGGATGGCAGTTTTTAGCCCTTCAGTTCTCTAGTCAAATAGTTCTCTAGTCGAACTAACTCGCAGTTGATTTTTTACTGAAACTAGCATTTATCAACCTGATAGGCACTGTCGATTTCAGCCTTAACGTTGATCTCATTATTTCTACTTATTCAGGAATATGCATGCAAATCTTTTGACATAGCCCTCCTAAATCAGCAGGTTCCCCAAGAGCTAAGCGCTTCAGCTCCCCTGTTTTCATTGTTGCTGTTTGTTTTTACATCTTTAGTCGCTGATAACAATTTATATTAGCCTGTGCATGTTGCGATTGTAAACTATTTTTTTTTTGCAGAAAAATTTGTCTCTTTTAAATAATAGAAACCCCTGTAAATTACAGTTTTCTTGAAGGCAGGGACAAGCTCAAGGGAAACACAACCCTTTTTCTGCTCTGTAACAATCCTCTTAATGTGACCCCTGGTCAGTGAAATAATCTCTCCAATTTTATGTCGTGGCGGCTCTAGAATCCCCTTGGTCTGACAAGGAAAATAGCCTTTTCCAAGAGGCCTCCGTGAGGCTGGGATGCATCCTGAATTTATAAACCAGCAATGTATTTATAAACCAGCATCAGATTTGTGGTAGCCAAGTCTGATCAATTCGAACTCATGTAAATGGAAAAAGAGTACAATTTTACACGGTGCCAAAGATGGAGAGGGACATTCCTCCCAATCTCGAATGCTGCAAATCTTTTGAAGTTTTGTATTTATAAACCAGCATCAGATTTGTGGTAGACAAGTCTGATCAATTCGAACTCATGTAAATGGGAAAAGAGTACAATTTTACACGGTGCCAAAGATGGAGAGGGACATTCCTCCCAATCTCGAATGCTGCAAATCTTTTGAAGTTTTAGTTTTTTTGTTTTTAATTTGGTTTAAGTCTTTCCTGTGGCTTCATATGATATAAATCGTAAAATCTGTTCAAATACCCGACAACAGGCCTCCTGACAAGGGTTCTGAGAAATCCGTGGGCCCTTTTCAAGATGCCTGAGAGTGTAGGGGCTTGTTTGCGCCCTGCATTCTTGCTCAGGCGGGAGCCCCTCTCCCTCTGCTTTGCCCCCCTCTTCACTGGTTATTTATGGTGAGCAATGGGGTCCACAGTCAGGAGGGCGCCCCCTGAACAGGAGTCGTGAGAGATTCGTTGTCTTCCCAGACACCACACTAAGCAATGTATTTCTCATCTAAGTGCTCTTTA